CACTACTGAAACGACCGTAAAATGCTGGAGCTGATGTAGGATTTCCTTCTGCTAGCTATCATCCAATGAGAAAAAGCAAAAGTGTTGGTTCAGCAGTGTCGCAAGTTCAAGTGGGACTAAAAGGCCTAGAAAAACCCGTAAGTGTCCCTTTCTAAGCGGATCGTTGATCCAGGAGATGATAAGGTACTCCGAGGTCTTGATGGATTTAAAACGATGCACTTGAACTAAACCCTAAGTAAGCAATTACTACCCACGTTTCCTGCACTAGCAGGCCCCGATGTGCCGGTCATGCAAAATAAGAAGGATATAGGAAGAAAATAAGAGACAGAGGGGAAGAAAAATCAGTTAAAAGATGAATAATGCCAAAGATGGAAAAGAAGCCCCGAATGTGAGATCAAAGTAAAAAGATGGATAAAGACAGTTTCGTGTTGCCATCTGAAAGCGTCTAATTGGCGTTCAAAACCTGTAAGCGTAAGTTCGCTGATTACATTTCCTGGAAGTGAGTTCCAGCGCTTGATAGCTCTGCGCGATAACCGAGATACAGATTCAAATGAGGAATGAACAAAAGGAGAGTTCCATGGTCGTTCGGCCCTGAATGCATCGTTGATCTACGTGCGAATTCGGTGTATGATGGGCCAGTTGTATGAGCTAAAGCAGTACGCGCAGAACACGTCGTGGACAACCAAACAAAACCCACGAGCTCTGTGCTAGCAGTCCCCACTGAGCCGGCCACGCATAATGAGAAAGAGAAGAGTAAAATTGTAGTCTATGTATAAAGTGAAAGTAATACAAAATTTGAAGAGGAATTTAGTACGAGTAATTAACAAGGAAGAAAACGGAAGAACGATCAAAAGGAAAAGTAAGGAGAGAAATAGAAGATTCAGAGCAGCAAGTTGGGGGTTTTAAGGCGACGTCTAAACTCTGTCACTGTGAGCGACAATGTGACGTTTTCGGGTAGCGTATTCTAAGAAATCTATCAATCTACGTGACAAACTAGTGTCAGCTCGAAACAGATTAGCTCGGAATTGGTTCAACTTCAACGGATGCCCACGAAGAGTAGTCAAATGAGCAGGATGAAAAAGCCAGGATAGGTCCAGGGTGATCCGCGCTGTTAGTATACGAGAAGTGAGTACAAAATCACTACAAAGATAGCGATACTGTAGTTAGGTCATCTTAAGCTCCCAGACGTGCCAAGGTGCATTGGACAGGTCAGCACTGGCTGTCAGCCGCTTCGAGCTTCGCTTTTCACTATCGAAGTGCCAAGCTTTCCACCAAACTTAGCACAATAACCAGCTGTTTGTGACGGTATGTTGTCTAAACAAGGTGTAGGCGCTTTGACCCTGAATGTTTGCTTAGGTCACTAAGGTTTTCAGGTAAGTCCCCCTTCTCTCCCTCTTCTTATTCTTTATTTCATAGGTCCTCATGGATGTATGGCAGCTAAGCACCAGTTCAAATGGCTGATGTACTGCTGTTGATGATGATGACCAAGCTTGGCAAGGATCGCCTACTGCGCTGACCCTTTGTGGGGAGCAGCTAGAAGTCGTTCAGAAATTCAATTACCTGAGAAGTTGTATCAGTGCCATTGGGAGTGAAGATGAGATCACAAACCGTATAGTAAAAGCTCGAGGTGCTTTTGCTAGACTTCGTCATTTATGACGCTGGCGCGACATGACTTTCGCCCTGAAAGGTGGTGTACAATGCAGCGGTACGTTCGACCCTACTGTCCGGTTGCGAAACCCGGCTCCTTACACCCGCGGACATAAAGTGGCTAGTTACGTTCGACTCCCGGCGCCTTCATATCTGGTGGGAACACCGAGTGAGCAACGAGAGTCTTCGAAACGTTGTTTACGGCACAGGAGAAGAAAATGAAATGATCAGCATCGACATTCTACGCACCAGGTTCCGATGGCTAGGTCAAGTGTTACGCATGCCAGCCCACCGGCTTTCGCGACGTGCGTAGTTTGCTCGCCGGAGGTGTGGATGGAAGAAGAGGACAGGTGGCCAAGCGATGACTTGGTCGAGAGGAATGAACGCACTCATTTCGGAGCTGGCCGCGGATGGAGCGTCACGGCTAACTGGTTGGGGTGCAAAAGACAGTGAACACGTTTTGCTAGATACACTTGCTGACATGGCTAGGTGCCGACCTCAGTAGCGTTCCTGCCGTGAGTTTCTTTGTCCCTCTCATACCTTTTAGCCTCACCCTCCAACCACTACCTCAGTTCGTAGCATAAGATAATATTACATAATGATTGTTTGTTGCCTAGTAATCGGCTGATAGCTTTCCGGAACGATGTCCATCCGTTACTGGCAGCGCAGCTGGCATGCAACCGTTGTATATATTTTCTTTTATGTATTGCAGCAAAGTAGCTGAGATATCCTACACCTCTAGCTGATGTGTATAATGATGATAATGAAGTTTGAGCAATCTGTTACGGTAGGACGGGTGACGCAGCATTCGGATCATTTTGGTACCTGTTAGGATGGCTACCTCCAAACGAATGCATTCACTTTGTTGACACTTAGGTACATTAACTATAACTACATTTTCCTCCATTTCGGCTCGTCACTAATCCTACCTTGGGCTGTGACGCTCCTTTTCTTTCCAGGGTACTAATTTCAATCTCTCCGGACTTTCCCACCCGGAGATACATCTTCCATCAGTGCTTATTCGTCTTCTCACCTTCCGTGTGTCGACATTGTGGTTGATTGAAGGACAAAAAACATAACATTATCCGGACCGGGACTCACATCTGAGTTTTGCTTAGCGGCGGGGTTGGTTCGGTAGCTATGTTAGGCCAACTGGAGATGTTGCCATTAGGTGGAGGTTTATATACATATATGGTTGGCGGCATCCGGTTTCGGATTTGCCTGTCACTGTGGCAAGCCACAGGACGCCTGCGCCTACAGAGGGACCATGGATGGCTTGCGCTGCACCACCCACAGCTCCACCCACATACCCCATATCCAGTGTAAACCCGAAGGAATAAGACCGGGAGGCATGCGGATGGGAACCACGTTTCATCAACGGAGCCGGCCCACACTCCTTCACAGGCAAACACAAGCACGCTGTAGTTGGGGAATCAACCGCACACAAGGCGGTGGCTGGACCGTAGTCCGCTCCACACTGAGTGCATGGAACCGCTCTTTGAGCCTAGCACGGCCACAAGAACCGTGCACCCCGTCCCCTCCAGCAACGACCAACTGTCTCCTGGAGCCAGTATGAACGATGTAGTGGGTAATAGACAGGTAGGCACCTTGTCAACATACACATCAAGCGCAACCATACCAAAGATATCAAACAACAGCCATTCAATTTAAACGACAAGCTGAAATAAAATAAATCCAATAATGCATACAGATACGGTGGCATAACTCTTCGCTAAATTACCATATGAAGGAATTTGGTCAGCAACAAATCCGTGATAAGTAAGAAATGTCCACAAGTTACTTAAAATGCTACAAACGCAACAAAATTACCGAAGATAAGCGCAATTAGTGTAAGCAACGTGGCCAGTTAATAGAACATTATTCAGGGAGGCAGAACAAACCAAATAAAGCGGAATGAAATTTATCCAGCTTAAAAAGACCTAGTTTAAGTGTAAGTTGGTTAGCCCAACTGCGGTGAAGAAGCATCAAGAATGCAACATCAGCCTCAGCATGGGGCAATACATATATATATATATATATATATATATATATATATATATATATATATATATATATATATATATATATATATAATGTTCATATGATTGTAGAGAGCAGGAGAAATCCTGTGTCAGCTCCATCGCTTCCCGATCATTGTGTAGAGGCCGCGATTCGACGTTAAGCGGCAATCCACAAGGGACCGTGACAGCTACACTGGAAGCTGCAAGGGCCCATCGTACTCAAAAGATAAGAATCTAACATTCGCTTGAAACATTCCTCCGTCTGGGCATCGACCACATACTTCGGCAAGTTGTTCCAATCGTTGACTACGCGAGTTGATAGATCGAGAGCAAGATGAACCCGGAGTCTTCTGGATTTAAACAGTTTTCAGTTGTGGCCTCGAGTTGAACTGTTTGCATTGGATTGAAAGCACGCCTGCAGCTCCGTCCCCATCTCTCCTCTCAGGATCCGCCTGGTGAAAATCAGGTTACCGCGACGTCGACGATAATCCAGGGAGAACAGATTCATCCGCTGAAGTCTCAGGGGATAAGGCAAGTCCCGTAACTCCAAGATGTATTTCGATGCACGCCGTTGCACCTTCTCAATTAGGTCACATTCGAACTTGGTGAGAGGGAAGACGGCAGGTAATTCGTATTCGAGAATGGGGCAGACATGTGGAAGTAAACAATAGTCGGAAGATATCCAGAGTCAAACGCGAGAAGGCTCTTTGTATGGCATGGAACATTCTGTTGGCAGCAGCAACCTTTCGTAACGTGTCCGGTGTAGTCCGCAGATCAGATGACACCGACACGCCGAGGTCTTTTGCAAGGATTGAGGTTCTGAGCAACGCCCCACCAATGTGGTACGTCCCGAAAGGCTTAGGAGCACCAATGGGGAGGACCGAGCACTTATCGTAATTTATGGGCAATCGCCATTTGACTGACCACTCATGTAACGTATCAAGTGTAGCCTGTTATCTGTTCGCCTCGTCAAGACAGGATACCTCCATCCACAATTGCAAGTCATCAGCGTAAACCAAGCAACCCAACTGAAGTTCCGCCGGGAGGTCACTGATGAAGATTTTGAAAAGTTCTGGGCCCAGGACAGATCCCTGTGGGACACCGCTAGTCATGAGCACGGGAGCGGAGTAAGTCTCGTTCACATCGACTCGCATTGTCCGGTTATCCAAAAAATCAGCGATCCAAGAGAGAACGTTCCCAGAAACACCGATTAATCGTAGTTTATAAAGGAGCCATTCATGAGGAACCTTGTCAAAGGCCTTGCTGAAGTCGACAAATATAACATCCAGACGTTTCGCAGCGTCTACTGATTTCGTCCATCGTTCACGGGCCATGGGGGTGAAAACAATAAAAAGAATGGGGGGGGGGGGGGCGGGGGGGGGGGGGGGGGGGGGGGGGGGGGGGGGGGGGGGGGGGGGGTGGAAGGGGTGGGAGGGGGGGGGGGGAAAAAAGAAAAAAAAAAAGGGGGGGATAGAAAAAAAAAAAAAAAAAAAAAAAAAAGGTGGGGGGGGGGGTATATATATATATAGGGTGTGTGGTTTATATATATATATATTTTTTTTTGGTGGGGGGGGTGGGGGGGGGGGGGGGGGGGGGGGGGGGGGGGGGGGGGGGGGGGGGGGGGGGGGGGGGGGGGGGGGGGGGGGGGGGGGGGGGGGGGGGGGGGGGGGGGGGGGGGGGGGGGGGGGGGGGGGGGGGGGGGGGGGGGGGGGGGGGGGGGGGGGGGGGGGGGGGGGGGGGGGGGGGGGGGGGGGGGGGGGGGGGGGGGGGGGGGGGGGGGGGGGGGGGGGGGGGGGGGGGGGGGGGGGGGGGGGGGGGGGGGGGGGGGGGGGGGGGGGGGGGGGGGGGGGGGGGGGGGGGGGGGGGGGGGGGGGGGGGGGGGGGGGGGGGGGGGGGGGGGGGGGGGGGGGGGGGGGGGGGGGGGGGGGGGGGGGGGGGGGGGGGGGGGGGGGGGGGGGGGGGGGGGGGGGGGGGGGGGGGGGGGGGGGGGGGGGGGGGGGGGGGGGGGGGGGGGTGGGGGGGGGTGGTTTTGTTTTGGGGGGGGGTTGGTTTGGTGTTGTTGTTTAAGAGAAAGGGTTTTAAATGAGTGTTTTTGGAGGGGTGGGGGGGTGTGGGGGGGTGGTTGTTAGGAAAGAGGGTGTGGAGAGAATGGGAGGGGGATATTGTAGGTAGGGTTTTATGGGTGGGGTGTTGCGGCAGAGTTTTGATGATCCCCTCCTGTGTGTATGGGTTCAACAATCCCCAATTTCCAAGCAATCGGGAGCCGTCCAAGTTCAAGTGAATGGCGAAATACCCGGCGAACAGGAGCGGTAATGTAATCAGCCACAGCCCTGAGGAACAGCGGATGCAACCCATCAGGACCCGGCGAGGAGTTCGGATCCAATTCACGAATGCTCTTAGCAACATCAGCGCTCATTTCTACATGCCTCCAACCGAAGAGAAGTACTGCGCCGCGTCCACACGTTAAACGGCTTCTCCATCGGTAGTAACCACAGAGGAATATTGCATGAGCCAGGTGACTGGCTTTCGCAGCATCATCGTCAAATAAACTCCACATCCGCCAAGGAATACAGAGCAGAAATACCACTGCCTGACATCTGGTATTTTCTCGTCCCAGTGTAAGAGAAGAGTGGCTTCGGAGTTGTTTTGGATTGCACAGCCAAACCGCGTTTGTACTTTTGCCGTTTCTCTCCATTTTTCAAATGCAGTATATTCACCTGGCCCCTTTATATTTCCGAATAGTCAGACTCGATGGCGTGATGTTTGAATCGTGACCCACAGTTGCCTTCTTTGTCCTCATTAGGCAACCTCTGTAGTTCACGATCACAAATCCATGGAGGACCTCTAGCAAAAGGTACTTTTGTAGACAGGAACGACCTTCCCACAACGAGTCGAAATCATCTTGGAGTACAAAATGGTTTCCACTCAATCATCCAAATTCCAGGGGATTCGGGTATCCTCCCGTCCACCACTACTGGCGCAGCCGTTTGCTACGGCGTGTGGGGCACAACCCGCCAGAAATTTACTGCAGGAGGGCGACCTATGGTTGTGGAGAGTGAAGTCCGTCGAGTCCAGAGGAACCGAAACCGACCCAGTGATCGCTTTTACACCAATGGGCTAGAAGACACTACTAGGTCGGTAACATCTGATTGTGCCGGTGAAAGTACAAGGTCAATGGATTTGGGGCGTTTTGTCCTGCAAAGTATAACGAGTAGGCGTTGTGACATGTTAGAAATAAGTAACATTCGCTAGACCGTCTCCTAAAAGAGCGAAATCAAAAGCGTTTGAAGCGGGAAGAACAATAGCATGTGGGTCCCAGTCCGAAACTCGCTGGGCATTGAAGTCACCACGCAATAAGCCAGTCCTTGCCTCCACCGATGCATTTTCATCGCGTCCAGCTAGGCAAGCTCCGGAACCCAATGGGGCCCATCGTAGACTACACCGACCCTGAGTAGATTCTGCATCCGTCCAGAACGACGCACCCGAGCGTTTCCCCGAGATCGCCATACGCTGCCACAGGTGGCTTCAACCAGATGAGGCCCTTGTAGTCCGTCTTCCAATAGAGTATCACGCTTGCCCACAACCACGGGTCTTCCTCCATGGCGGTCTGCCCGGTAAAGGTGGTATCCGGGGATCTGCGTCGCCAAAGCCCAGGAGATCCGAGGACAACCAGGGTTCGGTTGAAAGCTATAAGATCCGGCCCGAGTCATGGAGCAACAAGCTGAATTTTCGTCTAGTTTTGAGTTTTCTGAGACTGGCGCCACCACAGGAAGAAATTACGCGCAGTCCGCTTCTTCAGTCTAACGACCCCGGGCATTACAAGGTTTTGTCAGCAGTAGTTCTTGATATCTGCCGCGCTGCCATATATATATATATATATATACATATATATATATATATATATATATATATATATATATATATATATATATAATTTGCCTGTCGCTGCGACCTCCATAGGACAGCCGCAGGGCCGCTAGCATCTAGAGGGACCATGGGTGGCTTGCGCTACACCATCCACAGCTCCATCCACACTGCATATCCAATGTATACCCGAAGGAATAAGATTGGGAGGTATGTAGATAGGAGCCACGTTTTCATCAACGGAGCCGGCCCACGCTCCTTCAACATGCATAGGAGCAGCGTTTCACTTTTATCTAATTTGGGAATAATGCATACCAGACTTACACAAGGCGATGACTGAACCGTAGTCCGCTTCAGACTAGATAGAACAATTTTTGGGTCTAGCGCGACCACAAGTCCGTGCATCCTTTCCCCCTGCGATAATCAACCTGTCTCCAGGAGCCAGGATAGACGAGGTGGAGAGTATTTGATAGGTAATCACCTTGTCAACATTCATAACAATCACAGCCACACCGGGGATATCAATCAACAGCTAATGCCTAAATGCAAATAACACAACATGCATGCACACCTACAGACCAACTACAGCGATGATCTAGCATACGTAATACATCAACTGCATTTATGGCCCGGGTTAGTAAACGAAATTGAACAGGAAATAGCATACTTATCAACCTCTGTGTTGCTGATGGTTACATATTTAGTTTACTCGTCTTCTCTTAAATTTTGGCCCCACATGGCGATGCATGAGGCTTACTAAGCCAGTTTGGCTGTCACTTGCGACTACATGTGCTACAGCAGAATGCGATCAACTTAGCTTGACTATCCACAACCGTCGCCTGTCGTTTTCTCAACCGATGTTATTTTCCTAATGCAGTAATGACTTCTGATTCGCCTGGGCAACCGCCCTCTTGATATGTTCTCGCCATCGGCGCTGATCAAGGGCAATCATTTCCTAACACCTGAAATCAGTTTGTGATAAATCCACCTTGATTATTTTCGTTCCCCTACTCGCGGTTGATCATGTAGTAGCTGTTTTGATATCCGCCTCGAATCCATGCTGCTGATGTGCCCGATCCACCTTAGGGTCAGCAGCAAAAGTACGCGGTCCACTGCATACACGCCACTGCGTCGGAGCACCTCAGTGTCAACAACTTGGGCACCCCAGCCGATGCGCAGAATAAGATCCAGGCACTGTTGCTGAGAGCGCTTTAAGTAACGGACGTCTTTCTGATCGAGTCAAGGTTTCTCTACCGCATAGAAAAAACGAACAGCACCATCGACCAATATACATTCCGCTTCGTGCCAACAGTAAGCTGGTGATTCTTCCCCACACGATATTCCAGCTTGCAAAATGCAGCAGGCTCCTTCGCTATGCAAATGCGCAGCTCGCTCAACATCTGGAGGTCAGTCGAAAATACACTCCCCATAAAGCAAAAGCGGAAGGTACTTTCAAACTCGTCGGTACCAATTTGGACTTGGGGCATGCCCCCGGAATCCACTCCCGGCGAAGACTGAAAAAGTCAGTCTTACTTGTGTTAATGATGAGGCCAATGATGACTCCGCACTGCATTTCCTAACTGACATCTTAGTACCAAGGCTCATCCCCTAAAGTCTGTTCTCAGTCATTTCCATTTTATCCAAACTACTGATATGGGTCATCCCGTGACAGCTCACCAGTAGTCGTGGGACCCAGTTTGAATTCTGTTGGAGTCGATGCGTTGATTACATGCTTACTCTTCGTGAAGTGATGGATCAAAGATACGCATGCAGACGACACTGTACGGTGGTTTTCATTGATCGAAAACCAATTTTGACCAGGCTTCTCGCGTTAGTTTGTGGCATTTCATTTTTTTGACAGGTGTGCCAAGTAAGCTGCTTTCTACTTTCAAGTGTCCACCACCACTCCCGAGGTCGGGTAACGGTCTACGGGACGCTCTATTCAGAGCTCCCCACTACAAGCTCGATGTGCCAATTTTTCCTACATTTCACTTCCTTTTCAACTTGGTGATCAGAGTGATCCTAAATGAATTGCTCTGCAGTGAAAGGTCGGTCGGTGACCTACTGACAAACCTGACGCATACCGACGACTACTCTCCTTGCGTCGGACCTTGCGGCTGTATAAGTGCTGCCGAATCAGCTGACTCGTAGCCATACATGCTTCGGCGTGCCTTACACAGACTTGGTTCACAGATCACCGACTCTTACCATCACCGAAGAGCTGATGGAAGTGGTCCCTTTTGTGCATCTCTGGTAATTGACTTAATGACACTGTCGTTTGAGGTTTCCATCATCGATGAAAACAGCGGAATATCAGTCTGCGAGTCAAAGGTAGAGTGTGCAACGGTGCATTAAGGCCTGTGGAGCTGTGTGGATCAGGAAGTTGGTCATTTCAAGCATTAATCGCTGGTCGTCTGATCATCAGTGTTTGCATCTGATGGGAACACCTGATGAACAATGCTGATGTCTTTTAGTTTGCATCTGGAGAAAGACCCCATTTGACTGAGCCGGTTTTCCCACCAAACTTAGGTTCGGTCAAGCCATCCGTATGTCTGTTGACCACCGTCTCTTCACTTAGTTGGACAAAATCGCCGGGTGGCCATTCGGTTCTGTAACAAAAAGGCATGATGCAATTAAATGTGTGGGTTTAGTGGAGCTCGTGCCTATCGTTTCCGTTGATAGGGCCGCTGCTTGAAGATCTCTGATGTAGCTTAGGCTCCGCTCACATATATTTCTTATTATTCACTTCCCGTTAATTTTACTTCTTTTTGCCCTCTCAATATTCCATCATCGTTTTACTTCCATTTCTTCACCACCCTTAATTATTGTTATCTTATGACGCAAGTCGCAACAACCGGATCCACTGTGCTCCAGTGCCCTGCACCATAGTTTCTTAACTGAACCGCACCGAATCGTCTGCTGTGTATTTTTGCATTAGCTTTATTACCAGCCTCTCCAATATTTGTCTTCTCGGGCTTTATTTTTTTCATAGTCCCATTTGTGTTTTAGCCAAACATTTATGTAGACAACGAAACTGACTGTAGACAGCCACAGAAACCGTGCTGTAGCAGATGAATTATGGATGGCTTGTACCTCTGCTTCTCAACTTCCCCTTATTTTGTGTGAACCCAAAGGTATGATCCTTGGGAGCATGCTTATGGTGGATACAATTTGTTTAGGGCCAGCTCACGCTGTTCCAACACGCATAGCGTTTATGTAAACTTTTGGCATACGTGTGCTAGATGTAAACGGAGCGGTGGCTGAGCCTTATTCCGTTCCACATCGGGTACAGTCACTACTTGAGCACCGTTATGAAGACAGTGTACCCTGTCTCCTCGAGCAACGGTTAGCGACCTGAGGCCAGTAATTGAGATAGTGTTTTTGACAGGTTTGAACCTTACCATCATTCACATCAAGCGAAGCGAGACCTGAGATGTCAACGGGCGAACGCTGTCGACCACGCATAGGTGCGGGCGACCTAGCAGTTGTACCCAGCCCATGCGTAACTGATGGTGGTCACGTGGCAGCGACTCGTCGGTATGGTTTATCGGCATTCTTTGGTGCATTCTTTTGTGCAACTGCACAAACTCACGGGTACATATACGGATCAGATGCAGCGACGATGTAGCATACGTGCCACATCTGCCGCATTATTGGCATGAGTTCGTAAGTGAAGTTAAAATCAACATACTTGCTCTATGTTATGTGATCACGCTGATAACTTACCAGGCTTGCTTAACTGTGGCGCATACGACTGCATGTGCTTCAGCGACGTCAGCGCGTTGCTTGTGTAACCGACGTTTTTCATCCTGGCGCGGTAGTCTTTGTTTACATGGTCAACGGCATTCTTGATGTGATCACACCGTTGGCGATCGTCTGCCATCGTTTTCCATCACATAAGGGGCATTCGTGAAAAGCTCACCTTAATCTTGTCCTGATAGCGCAGCTTTGCTTATCTTACATTTCGCCTACCTGTACCCAGTTAACCAGGCAGCTACTATTCCGGTAATCTAGCCCCATCTATGCGGCGGACATGTCCGAGCCCCCACAGTTGTCACAGTTGCAACATATACTCCATTTCATACATACCACTCTGGTGGATCACTTCCGTTTCTTATGATCTGTCACACCATCGGATGCGCGGAATCTGACGCGGGCACTGGCGATGAGTTCCATGTATACGTCCATGTATACCTATTCCATGTATACCTGTTTGGCATCCCTGTTTCACTACCTTAAAGAAGAATTGAGAGCACCCTGCATCTGTACGCAGTACGCTTAGTTCCAACAATCATCTAATGGTTTCTTCTCAGCCGGTTTGCCGAAAGCCGCACGCGCCGATATCTGAGTACGAAGCTCGCAGCTCATCTGCAGGTTTGTTGACAGTGTACTCACAAGGTAGTGGAATTTCGCGAAGTTCTGCTAAACGTCATGTGCAGTCTCAGTTTACTGACGGCACACAGACTCGGCGCTTATTGACAGTTGAAAAGGGCATTCAATCTCACCTGTTTTTGGAATGAGTCAGGATTTGGCCATTATCAAAGCGAGGGAGGTAGTCATAAGTTGTACTTCATCCTCACTGTGTACAAACGACGCACAGAAGATCCAGCTAGTTTTCTCCCGAATTGTGTTTCTCGCTCCAAAACGATGGACATTCAACAGCCCACCATCAATATGGGGCTCGCGACCACCGTATTTACCTACAGTGAGGCGATGGGCATCAGAGCAGTTAGCTAAATCTTAAACTTAGTGGGGGCTAAGTCAAAACTTTACTCCATGCCGACGACAACTTCCCTGAGATTTGTTCGCACAGCTGCATCTTGGACCACATTGCACTGTGAAAACATTCAGTCACGGATATATTTACCATTACATCCAAACTTCCTAACGATGGCCACAATGCCTCATGGTTTATATATATTCATATATGACGCTTTAACTGTCCATTCTTATTTTCTTTCCCTTAGCTTGACTGCAAGTTTGCACTATATCTAGGAGAAAATGAGTTGCTCTGTAAAAGACAGGCGCACTGCGTGTGTGCGAGAACACCAGGAAATTCACTCCGGTCATTTCATGGTCAGCAACTTGGATGATTCTGAGGAAGAGGCTGATGAGCCCGAGGTTTTCGGGCTGGACGATGAAAACAAAAGTGGCCCGAATCCTCCTACATCTGAGCCATCGTGCATGAAAGGACAGAACTTGCTTGCTTTTGAGGAGTTAGGTTCCCTATTTCAGTACTTAGCAATCGCGTACACCTCCAAACTGACCAGCCCAAAGTGGAATCGCTTCCGTGGACTCCGTTTCGCGTTGAAAAGCAAAATACGCCTGAACAACATTATTTGGAGGGAATATCACATGCAATGTCAGTATATTTTCCCCATTTATTTAATTTTTTCTAGTCATCAAATGTGTCAAACCAGCGTTTGTTCAATTTCAAAAACCTTTGACAGAAAATCATCAAAAGCCTGAGGTAAGCCACTTCATTGTTGTATGATTAATACACCTGTAGGCCATAGTGATGGAGGGAAAGTATTGGAAACGGAGCGTCTCAATCGTTCGTTCCGAATACAGACTTTGGCGCAAGTTCACCAAGGATAGATTGGCAGGTTCGCATGGTGTGCAAACAGTTTCTGGCGCGAGTAATTCGGCTGGCACCTCTTCTGTGTACACCTTTCCAAAAGCCATGGATGATTTGCAAAGCACTTGCGCACCAGATGATGCTATGGACTCTAACTTTGGCCCATTCCTCAACGACATAATGATGGAACTGGATGATGAGTTCGACTTGTTCTTCGAAAAATCGATTAATTATTCTTTTTTGGGGATCAGGGATATCATTCAACCTGGTCTTTTGCAGTTTCAACCAGATACTATAGATGAACCAATGCCCTCCATGCAGTTGTCGCCTCCAGGTAATGGATACCCAATCCAAAACAAGCGTGCATCTCCCTACATCAATCCAGATGAGCCATCTCAGCTCAGGCGCTCTCCCTGTATACAAATTACCTCTTCAGTGCCGCCCACGCTGTGCGGCTTTGTCGATCCTGCGCCTACTCTTTCTCCAACTACCGTCATACAGACTGTTAACACCCCTCTGCCTTCTGCTGGGGTTTTCTCCAATTCAATCGAACCGCGTTTTCAAACCCTATTAGATGCTCGCCCTCCCTACTTGGACTTGGTAGGTAACGTCTCCTCCTCGGTACCACTTCCCTCTAGTGTATCTTCAGCGAAGTTGCCAATGAAGAATTTACGAAATCCTCCTATCCAAGAGCGCTGGGATCCCGCTACTGTTGGTGAATTTCAGAAACCCATGTCCCAGCCACTGACAAGTGCTGCACGTCGTACATGCGTCGGCAAAAGACACCGCCGCGTTTCCGCACAGCCTGGTCGATACAAAACTCATGCATCATCCCTAGCTCCCCCAAACGAGAAGGCATTGAAAAGCGTTTTCCGTTCAGATGTGCATCAGGATTCAACTTTTGATACTCCGGCTTTGTTGAACTTATTACAGAACCGTACTGAACTGTCACACGAGTCTCCTTGGTTCCAGTGCTCTCCACCAGCTGATACTACAGGAGGTGAGTCTTCCTCCTACTGCTCCGCACCGCTGCTTTGCTCAGTCTTGACTGCACCGTTGAGTAGTCAATCGATCATAGCCCAAGAATCGAAGAATCAAACCTCCCCCCTTCTCAAAACAGAACCATTGAAACCCCGGCATTGTGCGTCCGAGCCTCATCGTCTTCAACTCCCAAGCTCTTCTCCTTCAGTTACCGACTCAATGAAACAAAGTCACAGTGTAGATGTATTCGATGCCGGATCATTGACTTGCACAACTAATGTGAGTTACTCTTCTTATGTGCTCTCAGAGTCAGTTGCCTTTTTCTCTTTTTTTACCCCATTAATAATAATGTATGCTTCCTTTATACAGCGAGCAGCGGTCCTCTCTGTTTGGTCAGTTTATTGTGCACTGTTTGGAGTGCAGGGATCTTGCTTGCATTCTCCCCGAGTTCAAATCACGAGAATAGCGAGCATTTGACCACCCATACGCATATTCATTCTTCTTGGTTCGAACCAGCATGCATATTTTGAGTGTCATCCAGTCTATGGATATCGATGTAACAATAACCTAAGTAACGAAGTTGAACAAGATTTTCGTTGCGATGATGTATTAAAATACAGTTTGAAGTTTTAATGATTCGTTATGCAAGGAACTAAATAACCCAGCAAAATGAGCTAACAGTATAAAAGTGAACACCAAACGAAATCTATGTTAAGCCCAAGCTAAAGAAACCAGGTGTGAATTGCACATTTGTGGAATTCGACAGAAGACGCTTGCGGAGTGTGAAAATGCATATTATGGCCACCAAGGTGAAGACGGGCCGCTATGCTTGGTTGTACGAAAAAAACTGTCTACTCCGATTGGCCGATCAAGGAGTTGAGGTTGCATGTACCGGTTTAGTGGCCGCCAGACACGAAACGGTGACATGGCGAAGACTACCGATATTTAAATGTTTTTGGTAACATTAAAACTTCTCTTCTATTCTTTATTTGCCAATAATACTGTTAGATTGTCCGAGAAATTTCTTCTGAACCAGTGAGATTTTTGTACTTTATTTCTGAAAAATGCTTGGAAATCGGTCCTTGTACATTCCACTAATCCATTCCTTAGGAGGTCCTCCGCCTAACACCCCGTTTAAAGTCCAGTGTTATGTAATTTCAGTCGGGGGTTGATCTGAAGCGGAGGGACAGGAACTCGGCAGCCATCCGACCATCTTCGGAGCCGACAATCAGGTGCAGGAGATGTTGGTGAAGTGAAATGTTTACATTGCTGAGTAGCCTCTGTAGTTGACAGTTTGTACTTGTCCAGAAGTATTTCAAGAGGCGTAGCTCCTGCGCTACTTGATTTAGCAAACCAATCTCTCATTGCCTACGGCCCTTTCATAGCAAACATGGTCATGTCTTTTTATAACCGACCCAGGTGTCCAAGAGATATTTTTATTTCCGTATTCCTTTATCAACACCTAATATCAAAATGTCTCGGAATAGCGGGATGTCTTCGGTTGTACTGGTGCTCCACTATCCAGTTTCTTTCGAAGTTGGGTCTATCAAATCTCGTTCGAGGCCTTCTGAGTAGAAGCGACTCTGCTGGAGACTTTCGTCTGGCCTCTCTGGATTAGCCGTAATCTTGTATGTTAGCGGAGAAGTCTGTAGGTCCGTTTCCTTCAGCTTTGAGCAGAGCCCTCTTGAAAGTGTCCTCAAATCCTTCAGCTTGCCTATCAGACTATTAATCTCAAGGAGGTGGGCGCACAAACTCCATGCCGTTCAACTCACAAAATTCAGCAGTGTGGTAAGGTAAACTCTGAAAAACCCAACCAGTGAAATACTTTCCTGAGGATTGTGGTCGTGGTCGATGTTGAAGTGTTCGACCTTTGGAATATCTCGGGCCATTTGCTATATGCATCGATAATAAGTAAGACTTTCCGTCATTTCCTTGGTCGTGCAACATCAAGACGATCTCTTGACCTTGGTTTCGTGAACGTCGGTCAGCAGAATAGTTCTTATTTCCGCCTTGATTTCGCTGCTAGGGCACAATTTGAGAATCCATAAATGATCAGTACGCATAATTTCTTTCTAGAGCCTTCATTCTGTTGAAGCCGGGATATCCAGAATGGAACTGATGTAGGACTTTGGATCAGAGTTTAGTTGGGATGACGACGCGTTCACCAAACAGGAACGGCTGGTTATGCATTTCGTCTCTGGAACGATGGTTGTAGTTGCGTGTCCGAAATTTTGCATAGCCATTGTGAATGATAACACGTGCCCACCTTTGACAGCCACAGATCCCATAGTTGCGTCTTTTATCAGCCTGAAAGCTATTGGAGGCTGGCTTATAGTATCCTAGAATACACGGTTGATTTCCGTTTCCATTGCGACGATTGTCTTCTGGCTGATGTCGTTCGTCTAACAACCGTGATAACGCATCGGCCTGACACATGTCATATCTTTAGGTGGGGCATGCCCTTGATCGCCTCGATGTTTGCTAGATCAGGTCGCCGCCCACTTTGGTCAATGTAAAGCCGAGGTACTTAATGTAGGTAATGAATAACTCACGCTTATCCATTCTCAGGCGAAATCCACACTCCTTTATCTTGTCAAGCACGTGTTCCGCTCGTTGGTATGGTTTTTTGTTGGCTCCCATGACAATGACATCATCCACGTATGCAGCGGCATATGGCATTTGCTGTATCATCGTATCCATGATCTGTTGCAAAAGTGCCGTGGACAGTTTAGCGCCAAATGGTAGGCGTGTATACTGGAATAGTCTACTGTAAGGGTTTATCTCCAGCAACTCCCGCTATTTCCCCGACATTTCAATCTGGAGGTATGCGTCGGGCAAGTCCAGTTTAGCAAAACACTTGTACCATTTAGGTGCACATAAATGTCTTCAGGAAGGGGTAGAGCGTGCTTATGGTCTTCTGACGCAGCATTCAGGTTTGTAGAATAATCTGCACAAAGACGAATCTTTCTGTTTGATTTCTTGGCAATCTCAGGGGGTTGTCCACGAAGAGTAATAATAATAATAATAATACGTACATTTCTCTTGATGAGAGAAATTGTGTCTATAACGGCACAGATCAATTTGTACAGAAGCATCCATGCTCTTGCATACGTGACATGCATAGGTGGAGTATTGGGATATGCATTTCATGTATTAGCATACTGTCGGATGATTGATGCCAAAGCCTAGTTATGAAAACATTGGTGTTTATATGTTTTTGGGCACCTGTAGGAATAGCTCATCGAGGGATTTTTCCCATGTGAATTTAGAGATTATGGTAGTTAGATCAAGGTAATTGGCGAGTCTGCTTCAAAATGTTGCCACATTGTCACATGACCTGAGTGCTATTGGTAGTTTTTTCCACAGATAGCTATATCTGACCAGAAAGAAATTAGAGCGGATTTTCGTTCTAGCCTTCGGTATACTCAGTGTAAAATCTTTGTTGCGAAGCACTCGAATTGTGCAATGTTGTAAATTGACTGTAGGCTGGTTGGAATAGGTCTTTTTGTGTAGCACGTTGAAAAGTAACAACAAATTGTGCTTCAATCGCCGAATCCAAAGTGGTTCGAGATGAAGTTCATTGCAACCTCGATAACTCATTGCAGAGTGTTTACCAATCAGATGTTTAGTAATTGACCTCTGCAGGTGCTCCACAGCAATTCTGTCATTCTTTCTCATATTTGCGACATTATGCTGCAGTATTCGAGGATGGATCGAGTGAGTAGCTTGAAAAGCTCAACTCTAGCACGAGTTGTGTGTATTTTGTTTGATATATTGAACATAGACTGTTTGGCACTTGCTACTTGGTATTGGGCCTGTTCGGAGAAATTGAAGGTAGACGAGTACCTAATTGGTCGGTTTGATAACTCTGGCTGGCTGTTGCCTATCAAGTTCTTGGTCGACGATCGACACGACTGCATTTGGAACCGCTCACTTGGTCTGAAGACTGGGTTCGTGTTTAGCCACAGGGAAAGACTGACCTTGATTTTCGTACACAATCTTAGACCATCCTGAAACATCTGCGGATATTTATTGCGTAGACTATCCATCCAGTTCACAGCTGCGTCACTTAATTTGTTGCACACAGAATTCAGAGAAACACCAAGCAATTTCATATTGTCAATCCAATTGAGATCGGTAAGTTCAGATCTGAGCGTCTTCTGAGGTAGCAGACCTCTTCGAACTGGCAGTCGTTGAACATTACAGGTATAGCAAACTTCACCGGCCAAGTTCAGCGGTGCTTCCGGAGCATCCGTTGCAATCCGAGTTGTTCTTTGACCAGACGGTTAACCGGATCATAGTGGCTTTGTGATCAAGACGTCAGCCGTTAACCCCTAGCCACCTAATTCCACCCCAGCTCAGGCTATCTCCATCTAATGAGTTCATTAGAGGACGAAACCAGTCACGGAATGCCAGTGTTGGGAGGAGCAACACCGAAACACCTCTGGGCGGTTAACCGGGTTTCTTCCGTTTTTTTTCAGATATGACCGTGATATTTATGGCAGTGTGAACTTGGAGACGTACGTGCAGTTGTTTCACTACCACGGTAGCAAATCTTAAGAGCTTTGCGAACCCTGAATCGAAGGCACCGATATAACAGAATAAAACTGAGATCCTCGTTTTGTTAGAGATGTGGGCACAAGCCTTTGGGAATAGTTTGTGTAGACGTTCTTGTTGAGAGCAGCTGCATGGCGATGATCCCAGCCTGTTGCATTTCCGACAACGATGCTTCTCGAACGGATAGTATCTGGACGAAGTGCCGTCCCGCACCTTGCCAGCTTGCACATGGTGGTCTGTTTGTTTGTTTCTTTGACCTTACCGAGTTTGGGACCGTTGTCAGACTTCCGCGCTGGTTTAACATCGCTAGCACATCTACTGAGGCCTTGGGCAATCAGGTTCGTTTCGTCATCCCTCTTGCGTTCGGAGGCGATGGATGGGTCCTGCTCAATTTTGCTAAGCAACCTCACGTATTTTTGTATCCTCGTGCACAAACGAATTAGGGCCTTGAACTGATCGTCCGTCATTTCTTTCAGCTTGAAACGCTCGCAATGACGGTTGAAAATACTCTGGTAAGTTACGAAATCGTCTGATGCGCACTTAACGAGCTTTATGCAGCTGTATCGAATGCTGATAAGGAAGACTGTTCACCAAACATTTCATTTAACAAAGGTATCAGTTGATCGAACGTAGAATCTTTGGGGCATCTTGGTAAGATACGATTGACAAATTTGTCGTGCTCTTTGGTTCCCAGCTTCAGCAATGGCAGTCTACACTTCCAT